CATTAAAGCAGAAAATACAGTTAATCAGTCAGTACTGATTTTACCTCTACTTGATACCATTTTCTGGGTCATTCAGGAGCTGTGGGCCTCCTCTTAAACCCAGACAAACAGCCAGTAGAGCATTCTAAGCCTCAGAAGGGACACAAATAAAGAGCTATGTCTTCCAGTCAAAAAAAAATCCTTGATGACTCTCCTCCACGTCCAAGAGGTTTTCCATTTGGATTTTACCTCAGTAAGACCCTGGACTTGCTATAGGAATAAGCAATTGTACTGGGGGTACGTTTCTTGGTGCTGTCAGGTGCCTACCACTCTTCTCACCTGAAGCATGTAGCTGTGATAATCCTTAATGCGGTGCTGCCAGAACTTCTGCAGTGAGAGCACGCTGCCAATGCCCACTTCATGGAAGACCTGCTCCATGACATCAGGGAATGGGGTGTGCCCAAGGCGGGCTTCTCGATCCACTGCAAAGCGCAACAGTTTGGTGAACTTCAAGCAGTACTCGTGGGCAATGTCTGTCAGGGTCTCCAGGACACTCTCATTGGCACACTCAAAGCCTGTGTGAGCCAGGATGGTGGCCATGGACTGGTAGAGAAGCTGTCGGCAGGAGGACCAACTCAGCTCAGTCACTGGCTCCCCTTTTCCTCTGAAAAACAGAACAGACAAAAATAGCACATCTCCAGAAACGGAAAGCAACGTATCAGTTGAAGAGATAATGTCAATAATAAAGCGATGTACAAAGGGAAAGCAGATTGTCTGGGGGTGTCCACAGCTTCTCCACCTGGACAGCTGGACTTGAATTTCTACCAAATGGGGTGCAACAGAGTCACTTCAGAGCCATTTTCCCAAAATGGTAGAATAAAGAACAGTGGAAAAAACAAGACTACACCAGTCAGAGTGCATCAAAGAGCACAGCACACTAACGCAAACAAGAAAGTTGTCTCCTTTTGGAAAGAGGCTTCTTTCCACCTCAACCTCATCAAGCCTCTTTTAAAATATCTTTGCTGTGTCTACAGAAGGCTGCAAATGCGTATAAAGAAACTGCTCAATAGATAACAGCAAAAATAAATTGTGTCCCAGCGGCACAATCCAGAAGACCAGATAGCCTGGGGGGGAAGCCAAAGTGCTCAGTCCATCAGGGGAACTTATGTTCTGCCTGCTGTAATTAATCACTGCTACAAACCCTTCCTAACATTAAACCTGCTATCCCATTGACATGTGTTCCCCTACCTGTGTACAGACATTTCTTCACTACAAGCCCTTCTGCCACGAACTGCTTTCCCCTTGCAAGCTCCCAGTTTTGTGCACAGATCATTTTTCTATGCAAAGGACACATCCCATGTGGTCATAAACACAAATGAGAGAATGGCAGAGAAATCTGTTAAGAAACTAACCATACACACACAAGAAAAAGCATCTGAGGAGGCACTCAATGAATAGGTTAGGTTTCTTTTGAAGATGGATCCATGATAATTGGAGGAAGGTGACCAGAGAAGGAAATGCTAACAGTCACACTATAGTAAGAGCCTCCTGTTCAAATGGTAGTTTCAAGTCTACAGTTCCTTACTCATTCTTCATCGGTAATACTTTAAGCTCACTGTCTGTTTCTATACCAACCAAAACCAGATGTTAATCTCTTTATCGTGTATTCCAAGAACCGTAACAGCTGCAAATCAGCAGGACCAGATGGTGATTCATCCAGGAATAGTAAAGGAATTCAAGGATGAAATAGCTGTGCTGATCACCTCTCGCACAGTTGCCTTCGCCCATGAGGACCAGAAGGCAGAAAACGTGAAAACGTTTTAAGACACTCAGAAGAGATGTGAAGAGCTGCAAGCTGGGAAGCCTGAGATATTCTGGTGCGTCAGAGATATTCCAAGAAATTATAAGAACAGTAAAAGGACACGTGGGTAAGAGTCCAGACAGCTTTTGTAAATGGAAAGCCTGCTGTGTAAACCTACTAGAGTCCTCCAAATCCATCACCAAGCAAGTATGTGAAAAATTTCCACTGTGGAGTCCAGGTCTTCCCTAATGCATCTGTGCCAGAATCAAGGTTTGTTTCACCATATTTATGAAAATGGAGAAAAGAAACAGCATTGTTATAAAACTGATGGTGGTACAGATTTGTGGGGATTGGAAAAATCAAAACAAGTGGAAAATAGCAGTGGATTAGGTTCTGCCTTTCCTCACCTCAGAAGGGACAGGGTGGTAGGGGCTACAGGGATGAGGACACAAGACACACAGAGAATGAATCTGGTGGATAACAAAATAAAAGACAAGAGTGCAGGGTCAAAGCATGACAATGAATAACAAGGCAACAGGAAAGGACATGTCTATATTAAAGAAACTTGTGATCATATTCAGGCTTGCCACTCTTATCTTTCTTTCTTCTTATGTCTAAATAGGTGTATGAATTGCTTCTTCTCAAACCCAGGTTATCGCCAAAGAAAATGGAATTAAAATATGTATTCAGTCAAACACTGTAACTGACAATGGCACTTCAGAAGGCAGAATAAAAATAAGCACTTCCATGCTTTATCAAGGGGAAGAACGGCCTTTAATTTGTTTTTACACACCAAGAGCAAGCATTAGCAAACCATATAACTATTTTTATTGCTGTAACAGCACCTGCGGTTTTTAATGCACGTAAGCATCTTAAACCAGTTAAGAACAAACATGCAGCAACAAACTCAAAGCTTTCTTCCTGGAAAAGCATAAATGTGTTTGATTTAGCAAGTACAAAATGAAATTCTACTCTACACTGAAGCTCATTAGAAATCCACTGTCAGCCACAAAACATCTCTCTTCAAAGCTGTCTATCCAGTTATTACAATCTGGTCCTTAAGCTCCCCCATGTGGCTGACTGCTAAATAGCACTTCTTTACTTAGACCCCAGAAACTCACAAGGGACAACAAAGAGACATAACAGCCCCCCGAAACATGGACAGAGCCACAGAAAACTGAACTTAAAGCTGAAGGCATCAGGGAAGATATTGCAGAGCACTGCTCAGGTCTACAAACTACAAGGCCAGAAAGAGCAGGAGTCACAGGGCTCAGACCTCATTCTCACACAATTGGGTTTCCCTTCACCCCTCCTGGCTAATTACTTTATTTCTTCCAAAGATGATGGTGTTTCTCCACAAACAGCACTAAAGAATCACCCTAATGTTCAGAGATGGTATGTTACCAAAAGCATCATCATGCAGTAAAAGGCATTTTATACAGCCTCAGGCCATTAAAGATCTCTGCGAGATTTAACTGTAAGTTCTGTTTCACTGGCGCACAGTCTCCCCATTTTAAAAAGTAAAAAACATATTATTCTCTCATACATCATGTCCATTGGTGCACAGCCTTCAAGCTAAGAATGGGTTAAGTGAGGATTTATCCCTGAATTCAAATGCACGTGAACTACAAAGCACTTCAAGATCCTGCAAGAGATGCAGCATGTGCTTGTGAATTTAGTGCTTGTCAGAAGGGTAGACAGGGAGGTGGTGGCAGCACTATTTAGTCAAAGACTGGCTGCTGAGGTAGAAGCAATACAACCTTCCTTTACATTTTGTCCAGTCCTTGGCTAGTAGGGTCAGTATCAAAAACAAGAATTCCGTTCACCCATGCTCATCACCACCTCTGACCAGCATAACACCAAGAATGGGGTAAAATGTGATAGTTTCTGCATCTCAGCTCCTTGGCCATTGAAATCTTACAAAAGCACATTTATTTTAAATAACGTGCATGTTATCCACACAGCAGAAAACTAAACCTTTCCTTTCTGAAGCCTGTTTCACACTTGGAATACAAGTGTTTGACCCTTCAGCCTCATGGAATTGATGTAGCTATATATATGTTCAAAACCACTCAGCTTTCCTTCAGTCAAGAACTAACCCAAAGAAATACCAACACACCTGTAGAAATCACTCTCTGGGTCACTGTGCCTCAGCTGAAATGGCATTTTGGGGGTTTTGCTATCCAGAGGAAGCAGGTCATCAGGGAGAGGCGGAGAAGCCGGACGAGACGGCAACGGTTCGTTGTCTTCAGCTTTTATACCCTCTGCTTGCTGCTGGTTCTGAGCCTGAGCCATGGCGATGAGGCTGCGCAGCCGCCTGTTGTGCTGGATGAGCTGGATGGTGTGAATGGTGAGGCTGCAGGGCTCCGAGGGGATGTCCAGCATGGTGGTGGGCCGGGGTTTGTTCGCAGAGGGTTGATGCAGTGGAGGATCCTGGACCTCCACGGTACGGAACTCACGCTGAAGCAGGTCAAAGGAGCTGCGGTTGGCCTGGTTAGATGAAACTGGAATCTCGCCCCAATATCGCAGCATCTTTGCACAGGTCACTTATCAGCGCCCACGAGGCTACCGCACACTGTGGTACGGAAGAGCCTTGTCGCAGGGGAAAGTGCTAAGCTTTGGACAGCAATGGGAGCTGCGGTGACGCTCTTGAATGAAACCAACTACGGCTGCCACGAAAGCCGTCGCTCAGTGCCTCACGACGCTCCAGGACGCAGCGCTGGCACTGAACAGGTTACATCGCTGCTGCTCCGGAGGTGGGGGGGGGGGAACAGAAACGCACCCGTGAGGCAGTAACTCCTTGTGTGTCTAACAGAGGCCGCCGTGGGTCTATCTCCTGCGGGCCCTCGCTTGAGTAGAGGAACTCCGGAGGCCGCACTCGGTTCTCCCACCCGCTGTGCCTCCCTCCTTCGCCCTCACTGGGTCCCAGCTCCGGGTCCCCGAATACCCCGCGGCCTACCCGCCCCGCCTGGCCGCCGAGCCGGAAGTGAGCCCTGGTCCTTCACCAGAAGCCGTTCCCCCGCCACCACCGTTCCTTCGCGCCGGCAGAAGGGAAAAAATCGCCGTCTCTGCCGTCGGTCCCGCCGCCCCGGCCGCTGCCTCTCTCCTTGTCTCACTCCTCACGCTACCCTGAGCCGCAGCTGGGGTAGTGGCACGACCCCCGTGGAGCCACTTGCTACCCCCGGCACTGAAACCGCAGCGGTGCTCGTTTCCGGACGACCCTATTTAGGAACGGACCCGGGAAGATGGCGGAGGCCATGGAGCTGGAGGCGGCCGGCGAGCCCACCGCCTTCAAGCGGCCGAGCTGCCCGCTGCCCGCCGCACCCCGCGCCGCGGAGGGTGGGGACCCGGGGCCCAGCCCGCCGCCAGCCCGCCCTGCCGCCGCGCCGCGCTACGAGGAGCCGCCGTGGGGCAGCCGCCCTCCGGACGGAGCCGGCTACGGGCTGGAGGTGCTGAAGGGCGGCGTGGTGCTGGGCTCGGTGCGGCTGGAGGGCGGCAGCTGGTTCCTGGTGGGGCGGCTGCCCGGCTGCGCCCTGGCGCTGGAGCACCCCTCGGTGTCGCGGCACCACGCCGTGCTGCAGTACCGCGGCGCTGCCTGCGCCCCCGGTGACCCCAACGGCGACGATGCCGCCGGCTTCTATGTGTACGACCTGGGGAGCACCCACGGCACCTTCCTCAACAAGACGCGGGTGCCGCCCCGCACCTACTGCCGGGTGCGGGTGGGCCATGGGCTCCGCTTCGGCGGCAGCTCCCGCCTCTTCTTCCTGCAGGTGAGTCGGGGCCCTGGCCTTGTGTCGGTAGAAGCTTCCCCGGATCGAGCTCCGGGATTTGCTTGTCTCCATCTCCTTGGAGTACTGGATGGGAAAGCCACTTCTGCGGCGTGAGGCGGTTTGGGTGCTATGAAAGCAGCCGAGCGCTGCTATGGTGGTTGTACTGGCAAAAGCAGTCAGCTGTAAGTATCCACTGCGAGCTCTGCGGTGAGGTTTGGGGCTGAAGGACAGAGCAGCGCATTGCAGCATCACTGTGGGCGGCTCTGCCGAGGACTCCGCATGAGAACGGGGCTGGCAGCTTCTGCCTGCGTGCAGTGAGTGCAGAAGGCATTTCTCTCCGGCAGGATGATGTGTTAGTGAAGTGAAACACTGATATTTCTGTGTGAACAAGGGCAGCTTTCATCAGTAGAAGTTCAGATGGCACTTGGTGTGCCCTGCACATATGTCAGAGGCTGCTCATTACTCACATTCTTCCATGTGGTATTGAGGGGCGTATTTACCTTCTGTCTTTAAAATGCAGTTCTATTTGAGATTGGTCTGACTGCAAGTACACAGTAACGCTCATCTCTTTTTTTCTCTCATTTGGAAAAGGCATTAAGACTGATATGTTTGGTAATGCAAGCTGTAACAAATGGTCTAATAATTCCACTTTTTGAAGAGCACTGTAATGGTTTCTTTATGTTATTGTACGTGAACTGCATCTGTGTTGAAAATACGTCTCTATTTTTCTTTTAAAAACCATTTCTGCTAAGTTACTGTTTGTGACTTAGGGACCCAAGGAGGACCAGGAGTCTGAGTCAGAGCTAACTGTGACTCAACTGAAGGCACTGCGCAAGCAGCAGCAGGCAAAGTTAGAAAAGACAATGTTGGGAGAGGACTCTGATGAAGAAGATGAAAAAGAGGAGAAAAATGAGAGGAGTCAGAACAGTGATATGAGCTGCTCGTGGGGAATGGGTAAGTGATGATGTGTAAATCAGCTGATACATCTTGGAAGGTCTTTAAGCCAGTTTTCAGGGAATACCAGGGTTGAAATTCCAGCTTTATGCCAGGTGTCCCTGTTCAGTGGAATTTCTTGGGTATTCAGTAATCCTTTTAAATCCTTTTAAAAGGAAGAGTGGTGTGACAAGGAAAGCTTATATTTGGTGAGAAGTATGCTAGAGCTGTTTTAGATGCGGGGAGGAATTTGCCTATGCGTATAGAAGACCATAAAAGTGAGAGTCTAGGTTTGTTCCTGTGATAGGGTCCATACTTCTGCCTGAGAGATGAAATTTAATTGCTTGAGGCTTCTATGCAGTATGGTTGTCTTTAAATTTGAAGAAGTCCACATCCTAAAGCTAGATAGATAAATTGTAATTAATGAGCTGTTCAGGCCAAAAGGAGTTGGTTTTTTGAATGGAAATATATAAGCAAATAATCCTTTAATGTGCTGACACAGCAGTGACGTTCATCTGCAAAACTGCATCTTATGGTTGAATGAGTAATAGTAAAAATGAAGCAGGTTGTTTTTTTTTTTTATTGGATGCAGAAATAATAGTCAAGTTAAGGGAAATAATCTTAGGATCACATAGCTGATGCTTCTTTCAAACTAAGACAAGTTGAAATATACTGGTGATCTCTTCCTAACATTTCAGCATACTTTTGCAATTTCTATGTCTTGTAGGGGAGGATGCTGAGGAGGATGAGGTTGAAGAAAACCCTATTGCTATTGATTTTCAGGATGTGCAAGATGCCTTTTATATGAAAGACCCTAGGAAGGCCTTACAGGGCTTCTTTGACAGAGAAGGTACTGTACTATTTTTCTAAGTTTAAAGTAAATTTCCTGTTTACCAAAGTGTGACATTTATGCTCATGTTTGCCTTTGGGAGTTAAGGTGTAGGAGCTAAACTTTTCTATTACCTTGTGATCAAAGTTTCAGTGGGGGTTGGTGGTGGTTTGAGTTCTTTGTGTGGTTTTGTGTTTTGGTTTGTGGTTTGCGTTTCTTTGTTGGTTTTGGGTTTGGGTTTTTTTGTTATTTTGTTTGATTTGATTAATTTAATTAGTTAGTTTAATTTAATTAATTAAAACTTAGATCACCATTGTATATCTGAGACTGACTTAGTTACTAATCCCTAAACTGGGAATTGTAGTGAGAGTTGTATGCCTTTGGAGCAACACTGAAACCACAACCATGCTTTGAAGCTGTGCTGAAAAATTCATACCCATCAAATTCCAGTCTGTTCTGTTTGGCAGTGGCTGTGATTGTGAGATAGAATTGGAAAGTCTAACAAGACAAACAGCAGTAATGAATTGCTCTGAACTTCCAATAGTTGCTACTGAAACTTAAAGGTTACTCACTTATTTGCTAAAGTGAAAAATTAATCTTTAAAATATCTGTGAATTCAGACTGAAAAATGTCATTACTTCAATGTCATTTACTCGAATACGTAGAGACAAGATTGTTTTTTCTTTGAACTACACTGTTAAAAACAACCAGATAAGCATAGTACCAACAGAAGATCCCATGGCAAATTCAGGCTTATAACAAGGGCAACTTAACCTGTTTCTTTTTAACCATGACATTCTTCTATGCTGTAATGATTATTCTTGTTTATTTCAATTTTGGTTACTACATCAACTTTCTTTTTCTCTCTAGGAGAAGAGTTAGAATATGAATATGATGATCGTGGGCACAATAGCTGGCTGTGCAGGATCAAGTATGTACATCTCCATTCACTTTCTCTGCGTAGAAGCTGACTTCACTGAATTCACAAAGCCTGAAGGAATTATTTGTGTTGTCACACTTGGCAAGGAGGCCAACTGGAATTTGATACTGAGACAGAAGTTCAAGGATCAGTGCCTAGTTTAGTGTCTGTGCTGCTTTCTGGTCTGGAAGCATTTGGTTTTCCTTAGAGATGAACATCGAGAAAGCAAGAGTTCAGGTTCTTTCAGTTCCCCTTGTTTTGACAAATATGTGAAATTGAAGAAGAAACTAGGAAACAATTATCTTTCAATTCATTATAGGGGAGAGAGAAAAAAAATCTTTCATTCTACTGTGTACCCCATTTCAGTTATTTTATGGTTGATGAGAAACTGAATATGAGCCAGCAGTGTGCGCTCACAGCCCAGAAACCAACCGTATCCTGGGCTGCATCAAAAGGAGTGTGATCAGCAGGTCCAAGGAGGTGATCCTGCCCCTCTACTCTGCTCTTGTGAGACCTCACCTGGAGTATTGTGTGCAGTTGTGGTGTCCTCAACATAAAAAGGACGTGGAACTGTTGGAACAAGTCCAGAGGAGGCCACGAGGATGATCAGGGGACTGGAGCACCTCCTGTATGGAGACAGGCTGAGAGAGTTGGGGCTGTTCAGCCTGGAGAAGAGAAGGCTGCGTGGAGACCTCATAGCAGCCTTCCAGTATCTGAAGGGGGTCTATAGGGATGCTGGGGAAGGACTCTTCATTAGGGACTATAGTGAACCCTGAACAAGGGGTAATTGGTTCAAATTTAAACATGGGAAGTTTAGATTGGATATAAGGAGGAAATTCTTTACTGTAAGGATGGCAAGGCACTGGAATGGGTTGCCCAAGGAAGTTGTGAATGCTCCATTCCTGGCGGTGTTCAAGGCCTGGTTAAACACAGCCTTGGGTGACATGTGGCAGGGAGGTTAGAACTGAATGATCTTAAGGTCCTTTCCAACCCTAACTATTCTGTGATTCTGTAAGGCAGTTTTTGATGGGTTCCTGTGAAAGGCCACTAACGTAACTTGGAGATCAGAAGGTGAGGTGAAAATTAAGTCAACAGGGTAGATTTCAAATGGATAGGAACAACATTACCGTGACTGTACTGCTTAAGAAACCTTTCCTTCAGCATGGGAAGTATTAGTGATTGCATGGATGAAATACTGGTGCTTAAAATGATTCAGAGACTGACATTTAACTTTTTAACTTCTTATATTCCCAATGGAATGAATATAGGAAGAGTTATTGTTTGGACTAGTGAAATAAAAAAGTACTTGTGTGCTTTAGGATATCTTGTGTTCTTATGAAGTGAAAAGTGAAAAATACTTAACCCTCCGAAAAAGACCAGATTAAAATGGAAAGAACAATGTCAATATGGTAAATAATATATGTTTGTATCTGAGCTGTTCTCTATCTTTCAAACTGAACAGGTTGCCTGTGGATGATGCATCAGGGAAGCAGCTGGTGGCAGAGATTCTCCATTCAGGAAAGAAGAAGGAAGCAATGATACAGTGTGCCCTGGAAGCTTGCAGGCTACTCGATGCTCGGGGAGTACTAAGGCAAGAAGCAGGTGAGTAATGAGTCAAATGCTTTGATTATTCTAAAAGCCCTAAATTAGGGATTCGCAATTGCTATCTTGAATTTGTTTTATTGCTCAGTGGTATATAAATCATTGGCTTCTTGCCTTCTGCTTTCCCTTTCCCAGTATCCCGAAAAAGGAAATCAAAGAACTGGGAAGATGAGGATTTTTATGACAGTGATGATGACACCTTCCTTGATCGAACTGGTGCTGTAGAAAAGAAACGCCTGAACAGAATGAAAAAAGCTGGTAAAATAGAAGAAAAACCAGAGACTTACGACTCCTTGGTAAGAATTGTTATGATATGCCAGGCTTATTCTCTCATGCACGTATTATTACTAAGAAGGAAAATCAAACCTATTTCCTGATCTTTCTTCGATAACTTGAACTCTGATATCATTTCAGACCTTTCACTCTCATTTGGCCAAGTTACAATAAAATAGTGGGTTTTTTTTTTATTTGTGGACAATATCTATGAATATCTTAAAGTACTGATTTGCTTTATTGAAGAGGTAGTATACTACCTTGCTTTTGCCTGTGTAGTATGGACTGCTACTTGAATCATGGCAGTGGGTGAAGGAAATACCAGAGCAGGGTACTTGTATAATAGTTTCAAAGCATCAGAAAATAATTGCAACTTTTCAGGTGCACAGGGCACATCGTAAAGAAGAATGGGATCATAAAGAAGGATCTCATTCTGCTTCAAAGAATAAGCGTCCTGGACTGACAGGCATATGGCAACTAAAAGCCATGCACAGACAATAGGGTGTGGGGGAGCAGGGATAGGGAGGATTGGAGGATCACACTGGTGCTGTAACATTGCTGCAGAAGCATTACCATATTTTCATGTTTCAGACAGAAAATTATTTGAACAGTATGTGAAGAGACTGATAGTTGTTTAGGAGCATTCTAGACTATATTTTTTTCAGCCCAGAAATCCTGGTCAAAGATCAGAAGTAGAGAAATGGAGGTAATTTGGTAGGATATTTGAACAACTCTTAAAAGGGGATTTTAAGAAGATACAAAGATCTTCTAAGCATGTTCTTTTCTAGGTCAAAAAGCTAAATGAAGTTGAAAATGAACTTTCTGAGATAACAGAGAAGCTGAAGGCTTCAGGGAAAGGTAAGGCATGAAGTTTATTTGATCGTAGTGCTTTTCATAAAGAGCAATAAGGAGATAAAAATGTATTTTATGGATTTCTGTCTTAAGGGCCTTTCTTTTAATGTCCACTTTTCACAAAGGGGTGGGGAGATTTGCAGGTCACTGAGTTAGCTTAATAAGGATACTTAATACTCTCCAGCCAATAGTTTAAGTACTATTATACTGTTATGTGTGTGTATAGTCACTTGCTAATAAATGCAGTCTTGTCCAAAGCAAGCAACATCTAAGCTGAGGTGAGTGTACAAGTTCATGGGTGAACATTATTACTGGTTATCTGCCCATATTAGTGAAACTGACCCAATTTGAGGAACAGTTTTTCTCGTGACTTCCAAAAGCGTTTATAAGGGAAGACTAAGCAACCAGCAGAAAAGACAGTGTATTTTATTCCACTTCTCTCATTGTAAATGCATCTTAAAAAGGAAAGGTGAGAGAAGAAAAATGTGGAGTCAAAACAGAGTTTTTCAGAGCTAATTACTGATGGACTGACTTGGTATCTCTCACTCACTGATGCAGCTGAATGAAAATCAAATACATAGAGCTCTTCAGTCTCATCTTTGATTACCTGTTCAGAAGAAAATCATCATTAAGTTGATGGTGCAGTAAATAGCCCTATACCTTTATTCACTGAAATATAAAGCATTATAACCATGGTTGATTTACCTCCCAGCAAGTTTTACTTCAGCAGTGTAGAAAACAGCTGCAACTGATATTGAATGCTAACAGTAAACATCTAAGTTGAATTACCTGATCTTAGGCACTGTTGGAATCAAGCAGAGAATTGTATTTGCAAGAAGGGGTGATCTGACTCGCTGAAGATCACTCCCTGATTGAAGCACTTACATGGTTCTGCAGATAAAGAAGCAAACTGCGCTTTTAATTGTTCTGAATTACCTGACTAGACACTAAGCCATATCTTTGGAATTTGGTGTTTAAATTAAATGATCATTCTGCTCAGCTCCTGCCTGTTAGAATCTTCTGACTGTTATCAGTAAGTTTTCATTGATATTTTTTGTCTTGGTTCATATAAATAGTTGCAAGGAGAGTATTTCTATCTGAGTTTCCTTTATGACGAGTTTTGTCATCATTTGTGATTGTGAAGAGGTGGATGCTATAACAGTTTCTTGGGTTTTGAAGCCTCTTAATTCTGTATATATTTGAACAGTTACTGTTATGGCTTTAATACGCTTGCAAATTATAAACTGTGTTTTGTTCTAGCTCAGGAATACCCTTTCCAGTTGAGTCCATTTGTAAATATAAATCTTGCTAGACTTCTCTGTAAATATTTGTCATGTAAAATTGCTTGAATGTGCACCTTTAACAAAACCATGCTATTTTATTGAAATTCAACATGTGCTGCTTTAAATACAGAGTGCTATTTAATTAGCTCAAGCTGAACTGAAAATAACTTATTGTTTGCATAATTATGCTTGTGCATATGTACATAAATGCTTGTAATGCAGCAAATACCAGATTTGCCAGTTTCATATAACACTGAAGGGCAGAGGGAGGCTGCCTGTCAAAAGGCTCATCCAAATTCTAGCAACAACGTTTTTCTTTGTTTGCATTCAAGTTGTATTTTAACACTGTATAAAAACTTGTTTAAGCCCAAGGAAGGAGTTTTTCTGTGGGTATTTTGGTTGGTTGGTTGAATTCCATGTGTTAGAATTCTACAATCATTTTTCTTCGTCATTAGAACTTTAGTTTTTCCTCTTGAGTTTTAATTGCATCAACATGCGCAGAATTATTAATATTTGAAATCAAGTGGAGTAGAAAGACTGTCACTATTCTTTTCCAAGTAGAAAGCAGTGTTTTATTATTACAAAATCCAGTCAAAACAGAGGTAAATCTTGTGTGATTGGCCTAACACATGAAACTGTTTTTGTATGTGCTCTGTCATGCAGGGCTGGGAGGCAGCATCATGTGTTGATTCATTCTCAGCTTTGCAAATGTTATTACATAAACATTCCAGGAAAGTCAAAATGAGATTCCCCATGCAGTGGTATGGCATTCTTTGTAGCTGTGTTTATTTTAGTCTGTGACTACAAAAAGAACCCATAAGCCACTTTCTGAAGGACAGCAGATCTTGCAGTGAGATGAATAACGTGAAGACACTCATAAAGAAGCAGTCAATTTTAAGAGAGGCTTTGTTATGTAAGTGGATGAAAGTTTACTGTGAGGCTATTGTTAGGAGAAATGCTTTCATCTTTCCAGGGCTAATAACCTCTATTATTTCGCCTTTCAACAGAAACTTGCAGAGAGGATAGTTTTTCCTATATACGGTATTCTGTAAAGGTAGGACTTGAGTACAGCTGTTGTCTCCCCACTCGTAACAATGCGTATCTGCCCTTTATCTTGTCTAGTCCAGTCCCAGCCAGCACCTCAAGATTCCTTGGATGAATTCATGACTGAAATAAAATCAGGATCTACCTTAGACAGTGTGGCACGAAAGAAGCTTCACTTGAGGTCCTTTGAGCTGAAGAAAGAGCAACAGAGGCTGAAAGGGCTAGTGAAGCTTGTCAAGCCTGCAGAGCTGCCTGAGCTGAAGCCCCAGTAAGTCTTCTCTAAAGTGTAAAACAATTGCTTTTACCGTTGTTGTTGTCCATGGGCAGTTGTGCAAACCCAGTAAATAGACAGCTTTCCAAACACAAAGGCAGGACAGCCTTCCAACCTACCTGGCCAGCCTACCGCTTCAAAGAGACGCTGTGCCTTTTGGGTGTTGCAGCATCTGTGGTTGAGGCAGATGTACCGCAACACTGGAGTAAGCTAAGCCCACACTGGGAGGATGAGAAGGGGAAAGGATTGGAATCGTGGTGTCAGCTTTCATGGTTTTTTTTCCCAACCTGCATCTAAAAGGAGCAGAGGAATGTTACAGGTATTATGTACAAGCTGAAAACCACTTTCACTCCATGAAACGTACCTGAAGTCAAGTGTAGTGGCTCTTCAAGTACTGCCTCGCACAACTGCTGCAGTTCAAGAGGGTGTGTGCTGGGTTCATCATTTGCTAGTGGCAGCTTAATTACAGGCTTAATTAGTTTGCTTAAATTGAGGTTTATCCTTCAAGTGTGTTTTTATATATGCGTATCTATTATATACATGTGTAGGTGTGTGCAGTTGAATTTGAGGGAGTCTGTGAGACAGGTTTTTTCCTCCTTATTTATTTTTTGCTTCCTGTTCCTTGGATGCTTCAAGTGAGAGAGAAATTAAAGGATTTTTATATATCCACTTCTAATTTGCAGGTTGGTTTGCATTTCTAAATGTAAGACTCAGTTGATGCTGTGTGCACTCTTTTCCTCTATCTATTTTTTATTAGGAGTGGGAGTTACAGTCTGGAAGCAGAGAACAAGCCTAAAAAGATTACCTTGCCTCTGTTTGGTGCAATGAAAGGGGGGAGCAAATTCAAGCTGAAAACTGGAAGCCTAGGGGTAAGTTTGACTCGTAAGAGCAAATCAGAGGCTGTTTCTCAGACGTTCTCAGGCTATGGAGACTGTAGGTGGCAACTGTGTCTTCTCACATGCAAGGAAACAGAATGGAGCTGCAGGCCTGTGGCAGTGGAGGTGCACAGGGCTAGCAGTGGCTGTTGGATGCTTACTGCTAGCAGTTGTGTTCTTTGTCCTAGTACAGCCAGTCTCCTAGGCACAGCTGTGGTCAAAAGGCAATGAATTGAGTAGAGGCAGCCTGGGGACATCAGGCTGAACCACTGCTATACCTCAGCAGTTTGTTTTGGTCTTACGGCAAAGATCATATCCAAAATTGATTGTTTCCAGTGCCCTCATATGAAAAGATTGCGTTCCCTATCTATGAACTGGACATATTTTTTTCATCTTTCATCTCTACTAATATTTTTTCTTTAAAACCTAACTGTTCTTCATCCTGAGAGTGTCTCCTTACCTGCTGTCGCTGACATTAATGTGAGTGCTTTCTTCTGTAATGAATATCTGTGGCATCCAGCTCCATTTATCGTAGCACTGAAGCACAACTCTTTCTCCCACAGAAGTTGCCTGTTAGGCGTCCAGAAGTGCCTGAAAGCTTGTTAAAAACAAAAGATGATGGACCAGAGGAGGAGGAAGAGGAGGAAGAAGAAGAAATGGAGGAGAAGCAAGAAACAAATACAATAAACAGCAGAGCATCAAAGGTGGAAACAAAAATTACAGCAGAAGAAGAAACAGAAAAAGAAACTAATGCTCCTGATGGTTCTTCTTGCAATAACAAGAATCTAGAATCCCTTCAGGATGGTAAATCATTGGGTTTGGGTTTTTCCAGTAGTGAAGCTGAGACTGTTGCTGCTGAATTTTTCAGAGCTCTGTGAATCTCCTAGTGTCTGGGTCACAGGTTCTCCAGCAGATTTCCTTTCCATAGATTTTTCCTTGCGAGTCCAGACTCTATGTGTCAACTAACTCTGATCAAAGACTTTTCAGTTTCCAATCCTCTGCCAGTGAGGAGGAGCACAAGAAGCTGGGAAGGAGCAGAGACAAGACAGCTGACCTAAACTAGCCAAAGGGGTATTCCATACCATAGCATGTCATGCCCAGTGTATAAACTGGGGGGGAGTTACCCAGAAGGGTTAGATCACTGCTCGGGTCAGGCTGGGTATTGGTCAGTGGGTGGTGAGTGGTTGTATTCTCTCCCCTTGTTATTTCCCTTACCGTTATTATTAGTAGTAGTTCTGTATTGTACTTTAGTTATTGGACTGTTCTTATGTCAACCCGTGGGGTTTACACTCTTTTCAATTCTCCTCCCCATCCTGCCTGGAGAGGGGGCAAAAGGGGAGAGTGAGCAAGTGGCTGCACGTTGCTGGGTTACTGGCTGGGCTTACACCACAACAGTGAGTCCTGCTTTCATCAGATTGAGTGTCCATATAAAAACAACTGCAATGCATTGTTGGCAGGGAGGGTGGCTTAATAAGAAAAAAACAAGAAAGTCTGTGTAAAGCTTCAGATCTCTTTGTGAAGAGGAAAAATACTTCTAAAAATGGCAGTGGAGAGGTATCTTCTTGTGTCTGTGTGGTTTACCCCCATTCCCTCTTTTTCTCTATCAGCTTGATGCATTTGAAAACTCAGTACTGATGTTTCTCAGTAAATGAGGTGTTTGATGACAAACCTAATTCTAACTTTTTGTCTTAATGCTGCACAAGTTACTGGCATGTTTTAATTGGTCACAAGTTTTTCTTTAATATCGTATTGGGAGGGACTTGGTACATGAAGTAATTTGGAGAACTTTCAAGAGAAGTTACTCCTGTGACAAACACAGCCGAGAGTTCCCTTTTGTACTTTGTCTCAGGGATGTTAGTGCTCTGCTCAGCAGAGTTACTGCAGAGTGCTCATCTGGCTCGCTCTTTTGTCTTTTACAGGGGCTCCTTTTCTGCCTGAGCCAAAGGTACTAAGGAAAGAATCTCAGATGGGACCCTCACAAGAGAAATCTCAAGGTGAGCAATAGAGTTTAGGCTCTGTTGTACAGTAGCACGTTAGTTTAGAAACTGTCTAAAGGACTTAACTGTCTTCTGTCACTAGAAGGAAACTAAGCTTAATCTAGAGCCTAAACAGACCTAGAGTTGAAACAAAGGATTGTGTTTTGCTTGCAAAGTGGTAAGTGTGTGGTAAAGACAGGTCATTTCAACCGTGTTTCCGTTCTCTTTGATTTTCATAGTCATTAGCTCATTTGAGATCCTTTGTTTAAAGAAGAAAGAGGTATGAGAAGAAAACTTATTTTAATTTAGGAGCTTAAACATAATGCTCCCCACCCCCTGCCCTGCTGCCTTGAAACACTAGGAAGGACAGAACTAACTTTTATAAAGTGACAAATCTTCTATAACGTTAGCTAATAATGTGTTAATGACCTATGACCAGAAAGATCCCCAAAATGAAACCTGGTATACTGAACATAGAGGAGATCTATATGAATATTCCATTTTTTCATAACTGAGACTCTTCGAATGTTATCCTGTCCTCATAGTCTCATCCATAGTTTTTACGCCACAAGAGGCTCAGTATTTCACAGCTCAAGTGGCAGAAGAACAAGGCATGCTTCTATCTCTTCTGTATTCCACACACAAGTTTCAGGGTTATTTTTTGGTTGGTTAATATTTTTAAATGTTGATCCTGTGCATTTCGTACTGTTTTCCTCTAAATCAATCCCTGCACTGATTACAGATAGAGAGTATCTTTAGAAAGGAAACATCTGCTGTTAGTTAACTAAAGTGTGTTATAGAATACCAAATAGAGGACCTTACTGAACTGCATTCAGATAGGTGACTCACAGTGTATTAAGCATATGTTAATAAATCTGTGAAAACCGAAAGGATGTTCAGCAGTCTGAGGTATTAATTTTGCAGTGAGCTGTCTTGGATTTCCTTTTGTACCAATTCTTATGTAAACATCCTACAAGCTTATTTCTGATACTATTTGTCATTTATGATGTGTTGTAAACCAAATCTTTCTTCCCAGCATCTGAGGCAGTATGTAAGGAACCTGAGGAGGCATCTGAGAAAGTTAAGAAAATCAACAGCTCGAGCAAGGTGAGTTACAACACCATGACTCCTGCAGTTTAAGAGTTTCAGGAAATCATTTAGTAGGCTATTTTGTAGTGAAATAGTAGCAGTTTGATTGAGTATAACTTAGCGGCAGCAGTGCTTTTCTGCTGATGAAAACCCAGATGTAGAACCACATAGTGCCACTGGGCACGGATTTTGGAGTCTGTAATGAGAAGGTAAAGCTTGGTATTTTTAACATGATGGAGGCTCTCAATTCAACCGCAGATTTATTTGTTTTCACCTTTTCACTTGGCAGTTAGCTTCTGCTGATTGCTGCTTCTCCTGTATCACAAGTGTTGTATAACACAGGTGCTCTCTGGCCTTTGGAATGGCATTGCAAAACTTTCCTTGGAGTGTAGCTTGGGAAGCATGTCTTGGCTGGCACAGACCATGCTGTACTGGAGTGGTAGCTAGTCTATATTGCTGTTATTAAACCTCTTTTTATTCTGTAAGATGTGAAAAGAGATGAATCTAAGATTATTGAATTTTGCAACCAAATTATTACTAAGTTTGAGTGGATGTGCCAGGTAACGTTCCTCCTGTGCATGAGACTTGTATTAAAATGTAAAGTGTATGAGGCTTGCACATTTTGGGACACAGGCAATTGTTGCCTTCCTGGAGCTGGGAAGGAACTTCTCTGACAGCATGCTCTTAGCCTAATGATCATTGCGAGGTTCTTCCCTTTAGAGTGCATGCTACCCTTCTGCTGACTCCCATCAAAGATTACTGTACTTGGTGGGCCATGAATTCTGACTATTATGACAGTTCGTTTGTGGTGGGCACCTAATTTTAGCCCTGCGCCACTTATTTAAAGAGACTTAACTCCCTGCAGCCTGTGTGTACTGCTGCCTTGTTAATCCTGGCAAAGGACCCAAGGATTGGGTAGGCACAGTCTTTGGAATTGTCCTTTGTTGCTGGCCTATAAGGCACATTGATAAAGAAGGCAAGAGTAAATGTATATTGTTAAAGCCCAAGTTGTACCATTTCTATGACTATGGAAGAACAAGGCAATGTCTCATGCTGAGATGGTCAAGTCAGCACCTCTCAGCAGCAGAGGGTTCACTGTAGCACTGAGCATTTTCCAAATGCCAGATGGCTTAGCTGTATTCTCTCTCCCATCACAAATCACTGTTTCCACATGCTGTCTCTGGTTTTGGGCTTAGATCTTGCATGGAAAATATAAACCAGAAGTCAGCTCCCCCCCCCCCGCCTTAATATTTGAGGAATAACTTTGAATCATGTAAAATTGGAAAACAGTTTTAAAATGAGTATTCCCAAGCCATATTTAAAAACTCTGCAGTCTAGTGTTTTGGAAAACATTAGTCTTCCAAAATAACTGGTTTAGAGGTAAGTTTGGTGAAGGAGAGTTTTTAAGGTAATGAAAAATTGCTTCAGTTGCATAATGTCGTGATACTACAGACTACTACAAATCAGTGCTGAGTAACTTGGCTACAATTTGAGCTCTTTAAGTCTTGTACTCTACAGTCGTACGAATTGTTTTGATAGCTGCCTGCAGTCGTTGAGAAAGTGATGCTGGTTTGGCAAAACCTAAAAACCTAGGGACAAAAAGGTGTTGCTATGTCAACATCTGCATTGCAAATGACCTGTTTTGGTTTGCTTTAAACATTTTGGTGATGCCACTGACACCTAGGGAAAAAAAAAAAGGGGTTTTCTTTTTATTAAAAGCTAAGTTATCCTTATATAATAGCTTAACTTTTCTATGCTCCAGTTTCAAAGTCATCTTAAACCCGAAGTTTTCAGTGGGGTTGTGCATTGAAGTCAGTAAAGCACTTCTTGAAAATCCTGTTCTAAGTCTTTTCCCCTGCCTAAAGAAATTCTGTGTTGAACGACACTACCAAACAATAGGATGATAAGATGAAACTGTCCCAAAATGGGCAGTTGGCAGTGGTTCTGTTCTGAGGGGCAGATTGGACACGATGACCTCCCGAGGTCCCAGCTAACCAGTATTTCTATTACTCTGTGACCCTACTGGGAATAAACTGGATCTGGTTTAGGGTTTGATGTTTCTTCTTCCCTGTGTGCTATAGCTTTCATCCCTGACTCTAGTAGAAAAAGCCCTCACCTTTCAGTATTTGCCTCTGAATTAATATGAGGTTTAGTGGCTGGGACACATTGCTGTAAGGGTGCAGCACCTTAAATCCTTTTTGCTTTTGCAGGTAAAGCAACCACCATTATTTTCCTCGCAGTACCCAGATGATGACCCAGACTACTGCATATGGGTTCCTCCTGCAGGTATCAACCATTTCCTTACCTTTTTTAGTCTTATAACTCAAGAATCTAGCTAATAAGTAGTCCAGGTGTCCTCGTAACTTCTGGAGAAAAAAGTAACTTGGGAATACTTAACCAGAACCTGATGTTTTCTGGCATTCTATGCCATATATCTGCTGTATGGCCATGCAGGTCTTGCAGTGTCTGTAGTAGCTTCATCTCAGTGGACAGATACACCTGAGGTTTGTTTCTGAGTTTTGTAACAGCTGAGGGAGCTAACTCCAGTCACACAGAGTAATACAGTGATCTAGTTGAAAGAGAAGCTCAGACCTTCACTACAGATGGTCTGCAGCTATGGCAGTATTCTCGGCCTTCATAGAAGTCTGTGAAATCTGATAGTCTTCTTTGCAAATGCTTTCAGAAATCATTGGAATACAGACTTTGGGCCATGTGTTTTGGTGAGAATTCTCGGTAACCCTTTGGTGAAGGCACTGATTAATAAATGCACGCATCAAATATGTTAAAGTTTGAACAAGTTCTTTTACTTTAGTTCCAGAGTGGTTTGAGCCAAGTTGAGGTTATTCTTAAACAGGATATATATATTTTTTTCAGTTTCTCCAAAATGGAAGGTTTGTTTTCATGCATTGGGGTTTTCATAGCTTGTTCAAAGCTCAGCTTTCATTTGGTAGATTCCTGACTATAAGGCTGTTGCAGGCTTATAATATAGGTAGGCTCCAAAAGGAGTAAGAAAAATGAGAATCAGTTTCACTGAAGAAAAGTATGATCTGGTGAATCACCCTTCAGTGAAAAGACTGCTCTGCTCTGGCATATGAATCCATTGGGACAAAACACCTGATTCAGTAAAGTGGAGGTCTGATCTGGGATAGCCAGGCGAGCTGTGTCCATAAGAGGGAGCTCATTTCTCTGTCTCTGCCTGCTAATAATAAGACCTGTTTTCCAAGATGGCATAATAAGGATACAAGGGAAAAACAAAACAAACCCCCACAGGAATATATGATGCAATCTTGGCATGATTAGTACAATTAAGAGGAATGATACGTATAAATCAAAAGATTATTTGAATTGTAATATCCAGTCTGACTTTTTATCCTCTTTCTGGTCATCTGACTGCTGCTGCCTGGAGACTGTTTCATGCTTGGGTGCACATTTGTCTTGGATAAGAAGGGGGAAAATTAATTCAGCTTTTCCTCTTTGCCCATTAGGTCAAAGTGGTGATGGCAGGACTCATCTCAATGAAAAATACGGCTACTGAGCATCAAGTGCCCTGGAGTACAGCTGAGGCTTGAAGGATGGCTCTGTTTTGGACTCTTTCAGTACATGTTAAGTGAGGGATAAAAGACTTGGCTTTTCAGAAGCTGTTCCAGATTCAAGGGCGTTAGCAGCCGCTCTGGCTGCTGTTGGCTTTCCTGGTGTGTCCTCTTTTAGTCTTTTAAATGCTTTTTTAAAAGTAAAGGCCCACACATTCTTCTGCCTCATCCTTTTTGTTTGGCTTCAACCTGTGGGCTCAGTTTTCCTCTTGTAAATAAAAGTATACAAAAAAAATACACCTCTGTATACTTAAAGGCTTGATCAAATTTATTCCTGTTGGTTTTATGCAATTAAAATGAGAAACACTACTGGTATGCTGCTTTGGCTGCTGTTTGAAAAGACTGTGATGGTAAATACAACCTAAAACATGAGGGTTTGGGTGTGATTTCAGTTTTTTCCTATGGAAAAAAAAGGTATTTTGAGAAGAAAATTGTTTTTATTTCTTCCTCAAGCAGTTGGGGGAGTACTTGGTTGGGAGAGGACTGGAAAGTGGGAGCTTACGGTGGTTTTTATACATATATGTATACATACATAGAGTAGACATATGCATGCACACACAAGGTGTGGAAAGGCCAAAGAACTTTATGAAGAGGCTGGCACTGCTTATCTTACTAGAGGCTAACAGAAGAAATTATGGAAAGATATTAGGAGCTGGAAAAGCTTATAATGAAGCCTGTCTTTCTGTTGCAAAACATGAGCAAAGCATCATCTTAATGCAATTTAAGGCAAGCCTGCTCTTGATTTACCATGAATATTAATTTTGAATGTCTATATAATTAGGCTATAAAGTTCTGTGTATTTATATATGTGCCTATTTAGTGTGTATATGCTATATATATTTAAAAAAATCATTTAAATATCCATAAAAATGCAGCTATGAATTGGATGACTCCCAATTGTCCCAGAGCCTATGCTGTGGTAAAGGCACAGGTCACACAGGACATCTGAGGGATGGTAAATCTCTAGGCACAAATATACAGGGGCAAGGAAGGCTGGAGAAATGCTAGTGTTGTACTCCAGGGTCACACATGCTTTGCCATGCTTCCACTGGACAAGGCTGCATCCCTGTGGATAAATTGCAGGAGGGCATGTCAGAAGCTAGGGAGAAGGGATAGCTGTACAGCTCTTCTGGTTCTTGAATGGATAGTGTTGGAGCAGCGGAGCTCACTCTGATTTTACCCTACAGGTGACGTAAAGCAGTTTGGCAGCTTGGCACTTTGGGTGTTTTACTTTATATGCTCAAGCTGCAGAACCAGCATCTTTGCACCTATCAACATATTTAGCTTTGCTTTCTGTCAGCATCTGTGCAGCAGGCTCGGCAGCCTGATGCTCACTGCTTCTGGCAGAGGCCTAGCTATACATAAGCCAAGGAAGGGCTGTCGCCCCTCTGTTCGAAATGCCAGCTCTCACAGGTTTCACAGACTTCTCCAGAGCCTTGTTCCAGTGTGCAGCAGGCATCTGCAAGGACTTCTGTTCATCACTGTGGGTGCAGAGGGCCTGGCAGGTATCAATGCAGCACAAGGGAAACAACAGTTTGCCAGTTATGCTCATGAGAAGCACAGGGAGAAGAGCCCACAAGGTGGGTACAGCTTTACTTTGATAGCAAAATCACAGCGATGTATCTGTTCATCGGGGGCTGCTTTGTAGTACAGACAAATGGTATTTGTCCTGCTGCCAGAAAGACATCTCTGGGGATCAGGGACTGGGCAGTTTGGTCCCTGGCTAAGACCATGAGCTTCCCCATCTGTTTCTTTTCATAAGGGCTCACTTGTGCCTCTGTAGAGATCTGATGGTAAATCCTGCTCTCTTTCAGTGGTCAATCTTTTGTTGCATTGTGTAATATGAATACCTAAAGATGGTTCCAATCATTTTCATGGTAGCATTCAATAAAGCAATGGGAAATAGCACCCCTTATATTTGGAAGTTGTTACCATCCCATCGATGATCACTTAGCCATCCCAGAAGAAGGTTTTCCGTTGCTCACAGCCACATAAGACAGGGTTAAATCTTTTCCTTTTTGGCCAGATACATGTATTACTTGTCAAATATCTTTCTTCCACTGATAGCCAGAAACCAGCATGAGTGTGTGTGTGCAAGCAGGGGCTGCCATTTTAGGCAGAAAGAGATGGATACACACAGTACTAAAACTTCACCTTGTCACCACTCTCTTGTCCACTGGGCCATCACCATAACCTTATTTCTCCATGATCTGCAAGTCCCCAAAATAGTTACATCGTGCTGGCAATAGTAACCCTGTTCTCACTGCAAGTCGAAGCTCTCCTGAGGGTCTGTGTGTATGTCAAGGGTTGGGGCTCTTTTCCTTAAGCACCATGATGTACATCCTGTCATGATCCCGTTGTGGAGGAGGGCATACACAACTGGGATTTTCAGCAGCAGTATACAAATGGAGGGAATAACTTTTGCAGCCCTTAGGGGAGACGGCTTAATTTCACAGATAAAGAACGTAGAGTCTATGAAAACCAAACCTAATTGCATGGCATTTTGGCACCCTGGGTGATTAATTACATGTGTTTTTCCTTCAGAAGCTGGCTGACAACTGAGCAGCCATCAGCCTTTGGCGTTACAGAAGTGTAGCCCTGAAACTTTGTGTCATCAAGCAGCTGACTAAAGTCCACATGTGCCCTTAAGTGCCCGTTCTCCTTCAGTTTTCCTCTCCACTCCTCCTTCATCCCACAGGGCATCTGGCAGTAACTGCATGGCAAAACCATCATTTGGGCTGTGCGCCCAGTCTCCTCTATGTGTCCCATCTCATGGAGAAGAGATCCCTGCCCTGCAGATGGAGTTCTGATCATGGACAGAGCGCTGCTGCCGGCTGACGCTACAGGCCTGTTCCAGGCTCGATGTTTGAGATGCTTTCCACATAGATATTCCATTTTCACACAAAATCAGAGCCAAGCAATCTGGGTTCCCCAGACCCACACAGCAGTCTGCAGCTGGGGCACCTTCTTGTGGCAGTGTTAGTCACGCAGCAAGCAGAGACAGCTCTGAGTGTGATTAAAGCACGGATGGGAAAGCTCACCAAGGTTTCTTGCCCCAGATAGCTTTCCTGACCTCCCTAACACCATAATGATGCTCACTGTGTCAGAGGAAGAAACGGGTCATGGGATATCTAGGATTGTTGCTTGGTTTAAGAATCCCCAACATTATTTTTCCTCTCGGGAGGATGATGAATATATTAACACTCAGCATGTCTTCAAACAAGGGGATGCTGCTCAGCATGACCCTTCAGTGCTCAGACCACGCTTCTTTCATGGAGCTCTCTTGCTCTGCTCAACAGTTCTGCACCAGTCAGACCCCTTGCCACTGTAAGCACTGTGAGACCTCCAGCAAAACAGAGATAACCATCACTGGTGAGGTTTAGCTCAATCATACAGCAGCACTTTTTGTCTGTAACATTAGAACAAAGACAGGCTGCAGGCCCCTGTGTACCCTATTCTCAACAGACTGTACTGTAAGAGGAGCTGGACGAACCGTCTGATCGCATCTCAGCTTTCCCTGAATGTACTCACTCAGTCTGAAACTTGTTTCTGAATCCATAGTGCTTCAATTAACAGTGGAAGACTCTACTTGGAGCTGTGCATGCAGACAGCCTTGGGGTAGAGCTGAGCAAAGTCACCAGGACCGAACATCTGGCATAAGTCATCAGAAGATTGACCCTCACCCCAAACAGCGCTTTCGGAGCTTCTTGCCTCAATACCTTATCCAAACTAACAAACCTGTGCTTTTCCATGGCCTCTGGAATGGCCATTCCCACTGCTCCGGGTGCCGTTGGTTTTCCAGATGCCTCTGGATGATGTTTGGTGATTTCAACCCAGCACTGTTGCATCTTCTCTCCACTTCATTGAAAACCAAAGATCAGAGCAAACAACCTCAAGATGGAGCTCCTGGCGCACAGACATCACCGTACCTTAGGTCTCCTCTGACTTAAAGAAAGGAAGCTCAGCTCTATCTGTGGATATGGTCCCCTGAAGAATGCTTCCTCTTGCTTATCCAAGGAAAACCAAAGCTACACATGACGCTCCGCTTTCAGGAATGGAAAGGAGCATTCACAAGGTCTTTTCAAAGCATCCAAAAGAGCATAACACCTATGTGGTTACCCACTTGTCAGATTGGGTTCGCAGCACTGTAGAAAGCTACAGGACACAGGGAGATGTCATTAGTAAGTTGAGTGTCCTCTAGCCAGCCCACAGACCTTGCTCCACCGTTCAAGAAGGGATTGTTTAAAGCTGCTATTTCCTGTCACAGCGCTCACGATTAGTTGGTATTTTCTTTGCAACATGTGCTTCCCTCATTATCGCACTTACTTTCCATTGCTATGAAACTTCCACTTCTGTGTTCACCTAATAAATACTCTTAAATTTATGGAGCATCAATGCCCAAAGGCCTGTGAGCACCTAATATTTGGGCAGCTGTCAGCAAGATATTTTCCTTTGCAGTTCAATGCATAAAGCAATATCTATTCTGATACCTGCATAGCACCACATCCTGCTGTTCTGGGCCACAGGACTGTGCATACACCCTCAGCATGGCTGTAGATGAGGTTTGTAGCTGGGGGGGTAGGTTTAGTTTTTACATTCTGAAAACAAAATGCTGTCTTAGGAGTTCTCAGTTTCATTATCAAAGTGAATGTGAGGTAAGATGTGAGAAACGTTCCCTAAGGAGAGGTCTACAGATGATCTCCATTTGCTTGGTTATGGTTTTAAGCTGGGGAAGTGTTCTGTTGATTGTGCAGGTGTATGGATGTATACGCAGGTGTACGCACGCTTTCAACCATGAATATACCGCTTTGTTTCCCTGCTTTGACCTGCTAAATAACTTGGAACTCAAGTTTGTGCTTTTGCTGGGCACAGTCTGCTGAAACCGCAGTCTTAGGGCATATGCTGAGAACCTGTTTCAAATCCAGTTTCTTCTAGCACCAAGAAATGAGATAGGCAGGCTAAGAATAGCATATGATACAAACCCACCTGCAGGTGACTGCTCAAGGGAAGTTTGACTGAGATTAGGCTCATGGTCATCAGCTCCCCCAGGCTTGAGGCAAAAGGCATTGAGCCTCCCGTTTTGTAGGACTTGTGGTTTTTCCCCTGTATATAAAGATCGACTTGCTGAAGTCTTGACCGCATGGTCAGTATGCAGTGTGTGCAG